CAATTTGGGTTTATGCAAGGCAGGTCAACAATGGAAACTACATACTCACTTATGAGACTAATTGAAAGATATAGAGAAAAAAGAAAGATATTCATTTAGTGTTTTATAGACTTAGAGAAGGCATATGATAAGAGTTCCTAGGGACATATTATAACGGGTTTCAAAGACAAAGAAAGTTACAAATAGTTATATTGATATAATTTAGGAAATGTACGAGGGTGCAATGACCTTAGAACAACTGTAAGTAAAAGTAGTGAATTTTCAATCATGAAGGTCTACATCAAGTTTTTGCTTCAAGTCTATATCTATTTCCCTTAAATATGGATGAATTGAAAAGACACATTCAAGATGAGATTCCATGGTGTATATTATTTGTTGATAGTAAAGTTTTGATTGATGAGACAAAGTAGGAACTACAAATAAACTAGAAGTTTGGAGAATCAAAAGAATTTACAACAAGTAGAAATAAAACCAAATATATGGAATGTAGTTTTAGTAGTAGTAAAAATTCAAATAAGGATGTACTAAAGATAGAAGATGAAGAGGTACCCAAGAGAGAACACTTTTTTGTATTTAGGGTCAATTATCTAAATGGACAGAGAGAATGAAGGCGATGTTAATGATAGAATTAAAATAGATTGGACGAAGTGGCGAAATATATCGGGTGCATTATGTGATCACCACATACCCCTTAGGTTAGAAAGTAAATTTTATAAGACAATCATTAGACCAGCAATGTTGCACGGTACAAAATGTTTGGCAATTAAGAAACAACACACTTAAAACTTAAGTATTGCAGAAATGAGAATGTTATAACGAATGTGTGGTAAACAAGAAATGATAGAATTACATTAAACCGTACAAGTAGCACCAATAAGAGATAAACTGAGAGAGAATCGACTTATTGGTTTGGACATGTTTATAGAAGACCTAGTAATGCCCAAGAGTGATTCAATACATATCGATGGTAATCCAAGAGGTGGAGGTGGAGGTAACTCTAAATGAAATAGCGCAAAAAAATATGATAACTTATGGTCTAACTAAAAATATGGCCCTTGTTAGAGCACAATGAAGAAATATGATTCATGTAACAGACCTCCAATAGTTGAAATTAAGTCTTTGTCGAGTTACTTGACAAGTTACTTTGAGAAGTGAACCAACATATAAGGGCTAAATTAATACCGAACCCAGCCACCCCATATCGGCCACCTCATCAAAAGAAAACAAAAAGCAAAAAGATGAAAGAAAAATAAAGTAGGAAAGAAAACATAGGTCAATGGGAGGGGCAAGATGTTCGCTTCTTTTGATTATGAAGCCAATGATGACCACAATACTGACAAAAAAATATTTTTAGACTGCATACTTTTTTTTAATAAGCAATAGAAATATCTTCCTCAAAAGCAAGATCATAGAAATAGTAGACAACAAATCTGACTAAGTACCAAAAACATAAAATTGAAAATTACAAAAGGAACTAACCAAAATTAACCACCACTAAACCCGACCTCATTTTAATCATGCTTGATATAATTTCATATCTAAAAGAGGAAAGGCATGACATGAACCAATACTATATAACAGGCAAAGCATATGAAAAACCAAAAAGGAAATGGAAAGCAAAGAAATCCTACTGATGTCAGCTACATAAATCCAAGTATACTAAGATGCAAACTGCACCGACAGTATCACCATTATTCCATTGAGGCTTTTTGTATACTCTGATAAAAGTAAAATAACAGATTCAATATGGGTGTTGAATGTAGAATGGTATACATACTACTACTTTTTTGTGACAGGAAATAAGTTGATTATATTAATGTAGAAGTAGTGAATCAGTAAATATGGAAGGGTGGACAAGATATCCAACCTAAAGTAAAAACAAAAAAGAAACAATACATAAAATAAATGAGTCATATGGTGCACTGCACTCCAATCTGCAAAAACGCAAAAGTTGAATTCCCTCAAAACCCTTAGTAACCAAAGCCCAAAACAATGCCAAAAAGTGAATGTGAACCCATAAGCTTCCATCAACTCCCATCAGTTGTCCAATATTCCGGCGTTCCCTTCCTTCCAAAGAACCACAACAGTAGTAAAGATTTCACAATTCTATAGAATCAGCCCTTTATTATTTATTCCAAAACCCCTTAAATCAACAAACAAGGAAGATGTTCCAACCTTGGTTCCTACCACCACCATCTGTTTCTTACTAATTGAACTACTTTTTTAACTATAATTTACTAGGATTTTGCATATCACATGTATAATTGAGTGATCATTAAAGTAAATCATACACTTGGTCAGGAGCTAGGAAGCACGGATATGGACACGGTTATCGTATCCGATACAAAACGGATACAGGAATACGACAAAGTTCTAAAATATAGGACACGAGTACGGCAAGGATACAGCTAATTAAAATAATATTATATATTTTTTATACAAATAATATTAATAATAAGACCTAAAAATCCTTGAGTAGTTGGTTAATATTTTATAATTAGATAATGGGCTAATATTAAATTGGATAGTTGACTAATATGTTATAATTGAACAGTGGACTAACACCAAATTTGAATGTGGCCTTAGAACAAAGTGCACTGTGGGTGATAACTAATAAATGAATTATACCAACAAAAAAAAAGAAAAATAAAAAAAAAACTTGTATGTTCTTTTTTTTTCGCCGGTATTGTCTCTGTTCAATCAAGGCGAGGGAAAGAGAGAGAAGAAAAAGAATCATTGGGCAGCTGACACCATCTCAGGAAGCTAGAGGAGAAAGGAAAATAAAAGGATGCAGATCCGATCATTGAAGCACATCGTTGAAGTAGATCCTTGACGGCAGATCGTTGAAGCTCGTCGAAGCAGATCATTAAAGGCAGATCGTCGAAGCAGATCCGGTATGTCCATTCACCTCTTCTTCTCTACTTCTGTCAAAAGTAGATTTGGCAAATTGTCGAAATTTTCTTTCTTTTTTTCTTCTTTTTTCTTCACTTATTTTCAGCCCTTATCCCCATATCCCTACGTATCTGAGCCGTGTCCGGCAACAAAAAATCTCTGCTCGCTGTTCAGGACACCTTTAGAAATGTCGGACACGTGTCCAGCTGTGTCCTACGCATATCTGTGTCGGACACGTGACACCGCCACGTCGACTTCCCGTCGAGTATCCGTGCTTCTTAGGTCAGGAGTCAAGCTTTTAATTTTCTCAATAATTGATACAGCTATCACTAGTATATGTGCCACCTTCTTTTTTCTTCGATTTACATGTGTTTGATTGTTGATCTTTAATTACAGATGATAGTGAAACCAATGTGGCAGCTTGTGTTTCTCCATGATCACAGAAAACCCGTCACAACATCTCATATTGAAGAAATCATCAAGCATGAAAAGAAGACAATGTCATTCATTATAATAGAACCACCAATATCTAAATACAACTTCCTAAACATATAATGTTCTCTATAGACCATTATAATCTTGATATCTCATGTTCCATTGCTAGTTGTGTCCTATTCATCAAGAAATGGTAAAAAATAGATTGTATTTCCAACCATGATTACAATAAAGCTTATCTTTACAAGCTATTAATGTCACCGTGAAAAAAAAAACGTCAACATGCAAAAAAGGGGATAAAATCACATGTAACAATAAGCTTCTAGAAGTTCGTTGACCCCTAGCCTCTTATCAGAAGAATCTCCCCAAAAAGCCAAAAATTGTAATGTTAAGCCTTAACCGGCACAATCCCTGCCCACAGCATGCTGAACGCTCATCATTCATTCTCTATATATACTTTTTGCATGATAAATAACCAAACTCAACAAATCTCATAAAAGAAAAATTAAAGCCTCATTTAGCAAACCAAATGACTTCTCTTTAGCAAAGAAAAATTAAAGCCACATTTAGAAAAATAGTAGTCATTTCTTCCAAGAAAAGCCATAAAGGTGGAATTCGAGGTGTTGTCTATCCTTCACATCTGGAAAGAAACTACTTGAGGAGTATAATTACGTAATAGATTATTTCAAGAAAGGGGAAAATAAAACACCTATTCCCGCAGCATGGTGCAGAGCTGTGGCCCCCAGTTCACTGGGTATTTCAGGATCAGCACCGCACTCAATAAGGTATTTGGCAGTGGAAGTATGTCCTTGCCGAGCAGCATGAATAAGAGGAGTTTCACCTGTCAAGCAATGGAGATTCCAAAACATAACCAAAAGCAGGCTAAACGAAGCATCCATATCCTTCATTTATTAAGGGACTCCCCCCGCCCCGCCCCCAAAAAAAAAAATATATATATATATATATACACATCAAAAATGAAAAACCAAAATTATTTCTCGTTCTTATTATATGAGGATCATAAAACCACTAGATATCAACTGGTACAAGAATATCACATTAGGAGCAAGAATATCATCATAAAGCTGGGTGGAAAGCGGATTTAGTTAAAGACCATTGCTTAAAAGTTTAGCACAATCAGAAAACCAAGGCTGCCGACACTCTGTCAAAAGTCATAATATCATAATTCGATTAAATTAGACATGTAATCTGAAATTACATTCACATAATTCTCTAATCAATAAAGAGTTACACCAACTACTTGCCAAACTAATAAGTAAACCTCCAATTTTATTTTGTCTAGACACACAGCTATGCTTGGAGATCAGCTAGAACTAATAAATCAAAATGGTGATTAACAGTAGAATTATCCAATCGAAAAAACAGTAGGATTAGCCCCTTTCCCTGTTCTCACAAAAAACAACTCAGTTAAGGGGCCAACAGAAAGTAGCTTTTTTGGTTTAAGTAATAGAAAAGTAGATTGCACTCTTCCAACACAGATTTAATCACTTTGTTGTTATTGTATCTGTGAACTCGAATTGGTACTAATATGTTCACAAATCAAAACAAAATTAACATTTAATGTGTTTGTGCATGTGATATATGTATATGTATACACATATATAAGCTCAAATAATTATTAACATACTGAATAATACAAATACCATCTCTTCCATTTGTACCAACATTAAACTTCAACAGGGACCACGGTTCAGTGCTTAAAAGTCGGCCACTTTATATGATCAAGGATAGGTTGGCACCCAATTTAACTGGATCCATTAATGGTACTAAACTGGTGCAAATTTCATGTTCATAAATAAGCACACTGCTGTGGGTTTCAACATTAAAGCAGCCACTTTATATGATCAAGGACAAGGATAGGTTGGCACCCATTTAACTGGATCCATTAATGGTACTAAACTGGTGCAAATTTCATGTTCATAAATAAGCATAGATAATTCATTAAGATATCGAATTTAATACCATCTTCGTCTTTTGTATCAACATCGAGCTTCAAGTCCTCCAGCAAGTACTTGCACACCTCAGTCTTGCCCTCTCTCGCAGCAAAATGAAGAGCCCCTCGCTTGTTAGCGTCCTTTACATCAGCCACCGTTTGCGCCAGCCCCCTCCCATCGTCCAGTTGCGACGCTAATTCTATACATACACACGCAGAGACACCCAATACAATCATAATAAAAGCACTTGAAAAACTAGCCAATTATTATCCGTTGAAGTTTAACAGATTTTCGAGCATACTCTTGAAGAGGTCAAGATTTCCGGTACGAGACGCATCGAGAAACTGTTGAACTTTTTGCCTCACTGAAAAATCAAAAGACAAATATATCAATCACAAAAGAATGACAGTAGTAATGCGAAATACTGTGATGTTTGTATTGTATCTGCACAAGGAGAAAGAAAGAAAACCAACCTGCAAGAGCATCAGAAGCATCAGCAGCCATTACAAAAGAGACAGAGACAGAGTGTGTAGGTGGGGGAACTCTTCTGAAACCCTAAAAGCCTCTGTTGAAGTCGTTGAGTTTCGTACTTACGCTTTGCAGAGAGAGACGGCAGTAGTCTTGCGTCGTCGGGTAACAGCAGTTTGAAGACAAAAGTCGGCGAGAAGTAAAGGGGGAGGAAAACTCTTCAATGACCGCTTGGGCTTTGTTTGGAGTCTGACACTCCGACGAGTCGGAGGAATCGGCTCAAAGACTCTCAATGTCCAGATCAAATTTTTAAATTTTAATTATTTTTTTTAAATGCCTATAAATAGATATTAAATTCAAATCTTTTTATTTATGCTTTTCATATGAAAATCATATTTCTAATTGACTTAAATGAGAAAAGCTATAAATAGAATTTAAAAGCAATAAATGAATATAGTGCTGAGAAGTGCATAGAAATCCATATATAAGTTTTCTTTTATCTTTTAAAATAATTTATGTAAAATTGAATAAATTATCTATATAATAAAGTAGTTACTTGAAAAAATATTGATCTGATGGTCTTAAAATGAAATTTTCTCTCCCCTCAATTTTTTGAGTAAGACTTTCATTCATTTCACAATTATAAGACTTTTATCTATCTTATAACTCTATCGCTCTCTATCTTATACTACACATTAATTAGGTCGTTATTTATGATTCTAATTAAAGATTATTTTTAAAAATTTTAAATAAACAAATGGACTTTAAATACAAATTTTGTAAGTCTTAACAAGTCAAATGACTATAATATTGGTCATATTTTATATTAAAATAAAAATACTATAATATTCGAATGGTATAATAGGTGAATAATATATATATAATGTAATTTATCTATATACTAAGGGTGCTAGCATTATTTGTCTTAAACTTTTTGCGACTCAAATTATTTTAAAATTATTGATCAAACGATCGAAATTTCTCCTCTAAATTTTATTTTACTCGATTATCAGTTCGAAGTGATTATAGTTAGGATTCGAATTGAGTTGAATTTAATTATCGAGTATAAAGTATATATTTTTACTTAAACTTAACTTTACTTGAATTTTATGAATATTTAAGTTGAAGTCAAATTGAAATTGATTGTAAAAGTAATAAAGAATAACCAAATAAAAAAAAAAGTTATGGCAACACAGTGAACAAGAATAGATAAGAATTAGTTTGCAGGTTAAAGATAGAAGTGTTAATTGAGTCAAACTTAAATTCAATTCTCGATTTGACGTAATTATGATTAAGACTTAAATTGAGCTGAATTTGATTATCGAGTATAAAATATACATTCCTACTTAAACTTAAAGGGTGGGGTTATTCCCACCCCCAAATCTTCATTATCACCCTATTTAATTTTTCATTATCACCCTATTTAATTTTTCATTATCAAACTACTAAATCTACCCTTTTTAAACTCACCACATGCTACATACCCCTCTTTTAAAAAGAAAAGAACAAAACAAGGAAAAAAAAAAGAAAGGAAGAAGCAAACCGAAACAAGAAGGGAAAAAAAATCAAGCAAAGATTAAAGGAACAAGTAAAACTACAAGATGCAAAATCGGACATAAAAAAAAGTATCAAGCACAAATACAAAATCGAACAAGAAAAAAAATAACAAGTATAGATGCAAAACCTAAACAAGATAAAAAAAAAAATAACAAATAATCTGAAAGTATACACATATACACATACATATAAATTCTAAATAAAAAATCATTAAATTTGACAGAGATATCAAAACATACCAAAAAATAGCGAAAATTCACATAACAAATAGGAAATCAAATATATAATTAAATTGAGAAGTAATATTAACTTATATCTCACTGAAAAAATTTATATTAAAGTATTTTTGTGAGTGCATGAGATGAAATAGAAAATAAAACCATAATTATGACAAAATATAATGTAAGTTTACTTATTAAATGGGGGTGTATGTAGCATGAAGTGGACTTAGTTAATAATGGGTGTGGGTATAGAAGGAGTGGACTTAATAGTTTGATAATAAGAAATTACATGGGGTGGAAATGAAGATTTGTGGGGTAGGAATAACCCTATCCAAACTTAAATTCGATTGAATTTTACAAATATTTAAGTTATATTTAAATGGAAACTAATTTTAATTTCTCAACAAATTTATTTACATCTACGAGAATTCACATGAAACTTTTGGATGATTTTCTCACAAAAGTTACATGAACTCACATTAAAAAAATGGTATAGAGATAATGTTATGAACTTTAGATAGAAATCTACAAAAAAATAAATAGTTATATTTTTTTGAAATTTGAGATAAATTTTATTAAAAATGTTAAAATTGTGGATGTTTGATCAATAATAATTATATTTTCTCAAATTTTTGAATTAATATGTTGTAGTAGTTGTAGAGTGATTTTCGTTATACAAAAGTTTGATTATATATGTTCTGCATATAGGTTGAACAATATCAATTTAATCGTTGCATTGTTGAAATTGTATTATACATTGTCTTTATTTATGAAAAAATATTTACACTTTTTTACGAAACGTAATGCCTTCAGACACTAGTAATTACTAGTCTGTCTGTACTACTAATAAAAGCAATTTAACATGAAAATTTTTGATTTACTATTTTACCCTTATAAAAAATTACAAATGTCACTTTATCCTTCCACATTTAATTATTTAAATTACCATTCTTATGTATTTAAATTTTCAAATTACTCTACCATATCTTTTAATTATTTATTTTTTATGTATAAATATCAATTTCTATAAAAAAAAAATTGATTGACTGTATTATCTTTAAAAATATATACATTATTTAATTTTTAATAAAGTGTTCAAAAAACATTAAAACACTATCAATCTAATATTACTAAAAAAAGATAACTTTTCTATCGAAAAATTTAATCCTTCCATTTCTAAGATAAAAAATAATCATTTGTGTAGTTTTTAAAATCAATTTATGTTACATCAACATAATTTTTCAGTTACAATAAATTTATCAAACTATATTAAGATTTAATGTAAAAATAGATTTTATAGTGTATTTTTAATTAAAATTTTATTTTTTTGGAATTCTAACATGCTTTATAATATATAATATAGAATAATATATTAAATCTTATCACAATTGACCCAACTAATTATTAATTACAGCAAAGTGTCAACATGATTAATATATTGATAATTATTTTTATTTTATTTAATGAATTAGAATTGAAACCCTAATTAAATGAATTTTAAAAAAATTAATTATCAAACATCACTAAAAAAATCATTCTCAATCCAAAAATTCTATAAAAAAAAATAGAATTTTAACTATTTTTTAAATCTCTTACTGTGAAAACAAAGAATCTTAGAAACATACAAAGTTTTTATAATTCTATAACGGTATACAAGCAATAATTTTTTTTTTTGATAAATTTTAGAAAATGTTTAATACAAGTATACATATACCAAATACTTTTTATTAATTTTTGTGTACGAACTATTCACGTGCAACACACGTGGTGTATTTAAAAAAAACAAAATATGATCTTGGATGGCCCAATATGAATCTTGGGCATGGCAATTGGGCCATATAGCTTGAGAGAGAGAGAGTAAAAATGAGAAAACAAGTATAGTGAAAATTGGGGTTGAGTCTTCCTACATAGATTTATAATGATTTGAATCTGTCAAGAAAACTTATTTTGGAGTAAGTCCGTTTTTAATTTTATTAGTAAGGAGTTAAGTCCAATTTTTTTTTAATCTCAAAAATACCCTTAATAAATATCCTTAATAATGTTAATTTAGTTAGTTATGGAAAGTTGAAGACATTAGCTGCAAGGAGCTATATATGGAGGCCAATGATTGAATATGAAAATACTTGATTTATGATGGTAATTGTCAATTACAAGCTTTTCATAATACTTCAAATTCAAATTCTTAGTCATTATTTTGTCTATTATACATTTAAATAATCAACTTTCAAAATTTGAGGCTAATTTGAAAGAGATGAAGATTGAAGCTGGAGTACGAGCTCGATATTTTGAAAAAGTAACATAGACAGTGCACGCCAAGTACTTGATGGTAGCATAGTAACATCAGTTTAATAACATCACTTTCAAAATGTAATTTATTAACACATATTACTATTTTTTTCTCATGTTACTATTTTTTATTGAGCATGTTATTACTTTTTAAAAACCACTTTTTTGAATGTTGAAGAAATTATGGCTTCTTCATCTGGTTATGGGTTTGAATGTTACTATTTTTATTTTTAATGTTCCATATTGCTATTTTTTTTGTGAAGCATGTTACTGTTTTTGTTAAGTATGTTTCTGTTTTTGTTAAACATATTATTATTTTTGTTGAACATGTTACTATTTTTGTTGAACATGTTACTATTGTTATTTGTTAAAAATATTAATATTGAATGTTACTATGTTTTGTGTTTAGATGGTATTATTTTTTGTGTTTAAATGATACTTTTTTTTTTGTATTTGAATGTTACTTTTTTTTTATTTTTTATTTTTACTATATATATAGTGCTAACCTATATATAGATATAGATAGATACGAGGGAGAAAAATTTTAAATATTAGTCAAACGCTTAAAATTTTTGAGTTTTTAATTTTTAATTTTACTTCACTTCTAAAGGGAAGGGATAGTCTAGTAAAATTGACAAAAAACAGACTTCATAACAAATAAGTTTCTTTAATGGACTTAAGTCCAAATAAGTCCATATAAGGGGACTGACCTTCAAATTTCCCAAAAATATATGGGGACAAACATTCTATTATAGGTCTTATTATTTGTGTAGGTAATTTTTTGGAATTTTTGGAGGCCAATTCCCCTTTGGATATTTTTTTGGTTTTAACTTTATGCGAAAATATATAAGGACTATATGGGCACTTTGTGTTAAATTGACTAAACTAACCCTAACTCCCATTTTAACTCACATAAAACCATAATTTTGGTAACCGAGATGTGGATCATCAACAATTGCTTGCTCATTTGAA